TCATTACCCTACCAATCTCCTTTGTAAACCTCCTTTACCAAGTTCTTTGTACTGTCCATTGACAAGTGATGATCTTTGCCCAAGGTTCCTGTGGTCATCACCTATGCCTCAAATACTTCTGGCAAAACCACCTAGTAATGTACCAGTCAGGCAAAACACAGAGAAGCTTTTGTGTTGTTTTTTGAGGGAGTCACCAGATGATTGAGGCTTACAACAATTCTTTGAGAATAAGATCCATATTCCTTCCTCTGGCATTAGAAACTGGCACAAGGACTATTGGAGTACCATCCCCATAGCCCCTACTGATGTGGGATTTGTAGGATAATAGGCAGTCAATTTTAAATGTCATAGCATTCACTTACTACAAAGTAATAGCCCTTTGACCAAGTCTTTCCTTCATCTGTTATAAGTTTTTTACCAGATTCCAGAGTATGGCAAAAGTTGATTCAGACAGTTTTACCAGCTCATTTGCTGCACTTAGGTAGAGATGGAACTTTAGAATTCCCTACTCTGCCATTTTTTGTAACAATAGTAGGCATTCTGAGGTTAAAAATAAATGTTCTAGAAATTAATTCTACTCAAAAGGCAGAAATTCTTCAAAGAGAATCAGAGGGAAAAAAACAAAAAGCTACAAGGACCATTTTCTAGAAATCAAGTTTCTACAGAAGTAAAAGCTATCCATTTAAGCCTATATGAATTATACTACATATTACCACATCTAAAATACTTTTATGTAAATCATCCATATGTCAAACATCTAAATGTATCACACTTGACTAGGAAGATATAATACAAAACTTCTAATTATTTGGTACCAGGGATTGAACTCAGGACCTTGCACTTGCGAGGCAGGTGTGGTGCCACTGAGCTAAATCCCTGGCCCACTTGGTGAATTTTAAAAATACAAATTCTTGCACCTCTATCCAGAGGTTTATGTGAAGAGGGCACTGCAATCTATATTATTATCCTGCTTCTTAAGTAATTAGTAGGATTATCCAGGTTTAAGAGTAACAGAATAAAAAATAAATTAATGATGAGTATCTATGATCCAGAGATGTAAATGTAGACTGGCACTATTAGCTTGCTTCTAACAAGCAAAGTATAATCAGAAATGTATCTCAGTTCCCTAAGTGAAATTCTATTCCCTTTCTTAATCCACTATCGAAGAAATATCTAAGGGGAAAACTGGAAATCAAAATCATTCATTTTGATATTGAATAAATCATTTTAAACTATCATATGTAACTTTAGGTATCTATAATTTTTTAAGATTACACTTATTTTACTCTAAATTTATTGTAAAACCTAACCTTATCTAACAATTCACCGTTTTTAGAAAAGTAATAATTATGTACAGATTATATGCCAGGCACCCAAGTATTTAACACTTCTATTATCATTTAAATGTTATAATAACCTGATAACATAAATAATTTTATCCTCATAGGTGAGGAAACTGAGATACAGACTCATTAACTAACTTGCCCTAGGTCAAAGAACAAGTGACAGACCAAGAAGCTAAATATATACTAAGTATGTGCTATACATTAATACAATAAATTCCCTTCCCAATCATGTCATTAATTCAGAGAATTTTATGTTGTGAAGAAGCACTCATTTCACTGAACTCCTACATTTTTTAACTTCCTGCTGTCCTTTTACAAGTCCTTTTGAAATATACTAATTCATTAGCTACTTCCCCTATGTGTCTATTAAGTACCTCAAATGTAGCATCTGAATTGAGATGTTCTTGAAGCATAAAATGCACACCACCTTTTAAAAAATTAGTACAAAAAAGAATATAAAAATCTCAATAATTTGTGTGTGGATAAGATGTTAAAATGAAATTTTTATACATTTGATTAAATAAAATATATGATAAAATTAATTTCATTTGATATTTTTTAGCTTTTAAAAATCTACTAGAAATTTTAAACTACCTGATCTCATTATGCTTCTATTTCAAAGCCCTGATGTAGAGTTTTTTTCATGTCCTTTCTAGTATATTTGTTCATCATCCTCATTAGGCCACAAATTAGGTTTATTCTACTTGTACCCTTCTCTGAAAATACAATATACATCTACTTAAAGGAAGTCATGACATATGCTTTGGTTTAAACCCAGTTGTCTGTGATGAAGAGCTAGCCTGTATGCCACTTTTCCATAATTTTCTTCATACCTCATTGCAAAGAATAGGTAAATAGATGAGAGATAGAGAGGAGAGACAATGCAAAAAACTATTTGATGATAACTCCAGTCAAATACCTCCCTAGTAGTAAACTGAAATTTGAAGAAACAGAATAGATATAATTCCATATATCACCACATTACTTTATAATCATATATGACAAGTTACCCCCTAGAATTGGTTAAATGTACACTTATCCAAGAGATTCATGATAAAGGATTCATTTTCTAAAAGTTCAGTATGACTCTTATAACATTTCCATTTTAAATATGGTTATAGTATTTTAGCCTCTTCCTTTAATAGGACAGTACAGTATCAGAAAAATGAAAGAAAGGAAAAAACTACTGAGGTAAGTGCTGCAATCTTTTAGAATAAGACATTTTCTCTTGCAGAAGTAAATAACTTCCTTCCAACAAGGAATTTTGCAAGAAAATAATTTTCCCTTTGACTTATTGGATCCTCACAGAATTTCAAGAGGTGAAAAGACTTTAAAAAGCAAGTCTACTGCTAAACTAATGTCTGAAAGTCCTCTACAATATTTCCAAGTATTTGTAATGGGAAACTTACTTCTTCCCAAAACTGGTGATCATTGTCACCATCTTCCTCTTGTTCTTCCTCAACATTATCTTTTCTTGTATTGAGCTAAAATTTATTACCTTGAAGCTTTTATCCATTGATTGTGTCTGTGCTCTTAGTTCATGTAAATCAATCCCATTTACAATATAAAGATGGTTATTCCATACCTGGAGAATTCACTACTTCTCACTCCTTCTATTTACACATTGTCTCATCCCAATATCTAGAAACACTAGGTTATCTTCTCTTACCCATAGCACTGTAGCAGACAATCAAATGGGAGATAGGACCTTTCCTTCTTATTTAAAAATGTTTAAAGTTATATAAATAATATATGCATGTATCAAACATTTTATTATACCCCGTTAATATGAACAACTTTTTCGTGTGTCAGGTTAAAATAATAAATAAAAGCAAGTGTCCAGGCTGAGGTAGAAGGAGGTACAACAAAGATCAGCTATGTTTTATTAAGATTGGTGTCCCAACAACTCTGTTCTCTCTCACTCCATTTTAAAGAGACATTAGCCCAATTTAAGGCCTCGTGGAACCAATTCAATCATGCAACATGCTTGTGCAAAATCATAAAATCCCAAGTTGATCCAATGAGACTTCTTATTCGCACTATTTATATTGTCAGAATATGTTCTTCTTGAAGGGATTTAGACTAGGATTCTTTAACTGGAAAAATAAACAAGGACTTTTTAGCAGTCTCTAAGCTAGTGTATTAGAAAATAGAAAAACATTATGTGGTCAAATTTGTAGCACAAATTATAACAGTTTTAACAATGTAAATTCAAATGATCACTAAGAAAAGTACTATTTAAAACTCTAAAATATTCTTAACATATCAAGAGAGAGTATGACTGATGAAGATCCTGAAAGAAGAACACCTAGAACATAGTTTATATCACTGTTTGATTTTTCCCCATTTTTCTTACCCTTCACTGTTGATTATTATGTACAAAAACAATCATACTTTAACACCTTCTCAAGATTGAGAGCCATGTCTTGTAATTTCTGTTTAACTTAGCATTTAGTATAAGTGCACACAGATGGTAGTGCTGAATAAATACAGGTAAGCTTTATTTTATATAAATGGCATTCTGAACAAAGGTAAAGAATAGCTCACAGTAAGCTGGCAAGGAAAGTTTGAAAGATAGACACATTACGTGGCAAAAGTTCTGGAGGCTAGATTTAGTCCCAATTCTACCACTAACTTGCTCTATGATATTAAGCAAATCATTTGATACTGCTCCAGTCCATCCCCCTCAATTTGTAAAATAAACCTGATAATTACTAAAGTTTATTCTACTTCTGATATTCTGTGAAATCTTAGTTCAGATATAATAATAATACATTGCATTAAATACCTATCTTGTGCTAGATACTATGCTAAGCAACATTGATATGTATTAACTTATTTAATTCTCAAGTAATCTTATGAGGCAGGTACTGTTATGGAAGTTAAGGAACTTGCTCATTGTCACAGAATGGCCTTTTAACTCAATCTTATTTCAGAGATGGCATTCAACATCCACTCTATATTACCTCCAAATATATAAACAAAGCTGAGTATTCTAATACATCCCACAAGTGAATTCTTTGGGAAAGTAAATAGAAGATCCCTGACTTACAATGGTCCAACTTAAGATTTTTTATTTTATGGTGGTCCAAAAATGTACCCATAAAATCATTCTGTTTCTCGCTTTCTGTGCAGTATTCAATAAATCACATGAGATATTCAGCATTTTATTATAAAATAGGCTTTGTGTTAGATGATTTTGTCCAAGTGTAGGCTGATGTGTTATAAACATGTTTGAAGAAGTCCAGACTAAACTGTGATGTTCAGTAAGTTAAGTATATTAAAAGCATTTTCAATTTAAAAACATTTCCAAATTCAATTAGGACGTAACCCCATAGTCAGTTGAGGGCCACCTGTAATCACCTCCTGATTTATCAGCTTTGAAATTCTTAATGCTATGCAGTATAGCTTATGTGTTCCTATTTATCTTTTTTTAAGGTTATACCTGTATTATTGAATGAATGGAAATTCTTAATTGAAGGTTTGAGATGGAGAAAGAGAGCCAAGAATGGAATCTAATCATCCTTGCCTTTCTTCCTCTTAGGATAGTATTATCATTGTATAAATTGCTCAACAATGATGCTGTGGAAAATAGAAAAACATAAATATCACTAATTTTGATCTCTCTTGCTCTCTCTCTCACTCTTTTCACAGTGACTGTTTTGAGCCCAGCAGAAAAAGGTAAGTAGATGTTGTAAATTATATTGGTCAGGACTGCTTTCTTCTTTCTATCTAAAAGTAAATTATATAAATGCTTGTAAATTGAGCAACTCTCCCAGAAATACTCAGGTGATTGGAAAGTTTAGGATGATGGTTTTAAGGAAGCTTAACAAGATGTACAGCAGAATGTAATTTCTATGTCTCTTTGGCTATAGGAAAGGAATTGGAATTACCAGGATGTATGGTAGTGAAGGACATAGGTAACCAATCTGTCTGCCATAGTGACCTTATTCCAGTAATGACAAACCTTTTCAAGCTTTCAATGATGCAAACAACCTGCTGCAACATGCAAGTCATAGGTTCATCATCACTGCCTATACCTTGGCTCATCACTATTGTCCTAAGTATCTGGCATTTCTTCCCAATTCATTCACTCTTTAAGGGATAGAGTAAAAGCCCTAGAGAGGGCTGCAAAGGCCATGTTCTTCATCCCATCATAGTTCCAGTATATATATGGTGCTTGTCTTTATTCATCACCACCATTTGGGCTTCATCTGCAATTTATGCCCGGTTTCTAAACTGCAGTGGACCCTTGACTTACAAATTCAATTTGTTCACAAGGGCTGATTGTAACTCAATTGAAGGCTCAGGCTCCTCTACACAGCCTTCAAAGTCTCTGTCCTGTATGCAGGCAGATCTCAGTGTCCTTAGAGAGACATTGGCCCAGGATTTCTCAATTAACCCCATACACGCGAGGATGTTGTAATGTTCTTTCCAGAAATCTTCAAAGGTTAAATCTGTATCTGAGACCACCTGGAAGCACAAGCAGCCAGCATTCAGGTCGTAACTCAAGACTTTGTTCATAAGTTAAGACTAAAATTCCAGTTGTAACCCAAGTTGTTTGTATGTCAGGCCGGTCATAACTTAAGGGTCCATTGTATAAGCTAAGATTCTTAACAAACTTTTACCTTTACATTATTTTATTAGTAATAGTCACAATATTTTTGTAGCCACTTTGTATTGTCACTTTTAATTCTTGCTTCACAGGAATTAATTGCTATAACACATTAACTCATATTATGCTGTTTTAAAGCTCTAGTTTGCTATAGTCATGTAATAGAAGCATTGGCTATAGAGACAACAGAACAGTGTGCTTAGGAGACAATAGACTATTATATTTTAAAATGTGGGTTCTAGTAGTTAAAAATGTGAGTTCTAGAGTTAGAATTGTGGATTCAAATTCTGGTTCTGCCATTTTGTAATAAGTTATTTTACATCCTTGTGCTTTCATTTGTATATGTAATAGAAATATACTACCAAATTCATAGAGTTGTTATAAAAATATGCATTCATGCATATAAAGTATTTAGAATAGAAGTGAACAAAGCACATTCTCATGACTCAATCAATGTTTGCTACTATTACCATTAGAGTAAGTCCTAAATTGCTTATTGTTTGTTTGTGTGTTTGTGTGTGTATGTGTTCCTGGGGACTGAACCCAGGGCCTTTGCACTGAACTATATCCCAAACCCCTTTTTATATTTTACCTTTTATTTTGAAATAGGGTCTTGCTAAGTTGTCCAGACTGGGCTTGATCTTTCAGTCCTCTTTCCTCAGCCCCAAGTAGCTGGCATTATAGATACACACTACCATGTCTTGTTGCCTTTTATTCTTATGTATGGTTCTTAAGGCCAGAAATCATATTTTATATGCAAATATTAAATCATTATAAATAAATATTTTTCAAACAAACTTTGAAGACAAATTGAGTGATGGCTTAGATGATGTTGTACCGTAAGAGAAATAACAACAATATTCTTCTTATTACGGAAAACTACAATTTATTGTGCCAGATACCCTGCTAAGTATTGTATATACATTATGCCCTTCAGTACTTATATCAACACAATGATGTATGCATTCTTCTTTTTTTGATGTATGCATTCTTATGTCCATTTTATATGGAAGGAAATTGAAATTTAGAGACATTAAATAACATATCTCAGGTCATCTAACCAGTGAATGATAGTATTCAACTCCAAAATGTCTGACCTAAACCTTATGCCTTAAGCAAACCTGCATTTGCATTTTACTTTTCAATTTAATTTTAATTAGCTTAGTTCCTTACTCAGAAACTTGATGTTCTATTGCTTTTTTTCCCAGTGTCTAAAATGCCATATGTTCACATTTGCATGTTATCAGTGAACTTAACTACACCGATGTGAAGTACCATTTGTAAGCCTGACTCAGCTTGACACTTTACTGGTAGTATCAATCCAGTTGCCAGGATTTAAGTTCTCTAGGAGATTCTTGCAAAAATATATGACTTTTATTGCTTCTTCTGACTGTAGGATTTTATGATCCCAAATCACTTTCTCACAATAGTTCTTGAATTTATCGACACAATAAAGAATAAGATTAGTATAATGGGACAAAGCACAAGGAGGCAAAAGATTTACACTGCAGTTCTAATACACATTTACTAACTCTATGACCTTGGAAAGTAGCTCAACTGTCTGAACTACCATTTTTATAAAATGAATCTAGTTTAATAACATCATATGGATTTATTGTAAGCTAGTGAAAATATGCAGCATTAGTATGCTTTTTAAATGTTAAGTATTGACAATGTCAGTTGTTACTTTTTTATATGTCAGGATTTGTTACTATAGCCCTAGAAAACTAATGCAGCTGAATAAACTAATACAACTATTACCTGATAAATTTCAACCTATAATGGACTGTTAAGAGAATTGTAACAGTAGCAAATAAGCAAAGACTTTTGTGTTAGATCTACCTGGAATCAAATCAACTTTGCCAAATACCAAATATATAAAATTGGGGAACCTAACCTCTCGCTTTTTCCTCTGTGAAATAAAGATAATAATTGCCTTTCATGGTTATTTTGAGCATGAATGAGATGATATTTGTAAATATCTGAACATAGTGACTGGCACATTATAAATACAAGATAAATAGTAGCAAATATTATTACTGTATGATTGTTAATATTAGAGATGGCCTGAAAGATCTTTCTTCTAAGATGTATAACATACTTCAGGACCATAATTCCTTATGATTCCTATTATGAATAGATTGTTAAAATACATACATTCATATTGTATGGCTAGAACAATTGAGGTTCAAAGAAATAAAATATATTGTCATAGTCATGCTGATTCTAATGTACAGAAAGGACTAAAGCCCAGGTTATCTGAGCCACAGTTCCACATATTATATGTTGGGTCAACTTTGATTATATAGGACTCAGAAATTTTTAAGAGATTTTTACCTTTTTTCCATAGATTATACTAAAAACATGATAATTATGCATTTCTTATTATTTCATAAGTGTATTGCAAAGATGATCTCACTTCACCCAGCATAATACTATCCACATTTAGAAGCTCTTCAATACAGAAACTTCCTGTCTCTATTCTTGAAATGAATATCTGGGTTGAGCTAGATGTTATGAATTTAATAGAGGCCAACAATGTATGAGCTAAGAGATGAACTTAAGAATGAGATGGACATTAGGCACAACCCACCACACAATCCACATAAATTAAGAATAATCCACTGTCCACAGTTGCTCATCTTTAGAAATCATTTTATTTTATTTTTCTGGTACTGGGAATCAAACTCAGACCCTGTGCTTGCCAGGCAGGTATAGAAATCATTTTAAACAGAAGCTCAACTTATTCTCTGCAAATTCATTTGTAGTTTTAATGGATTTATTACTAAACTATTGGGTTTCTTTTTTTAAAGTAAAAATGACTATAATTATTTACCTCCCCTTAAATCGATGTGGTTCCTGAGTATTAAAATTGTTTCAGGCCAACTTGAGAACCCTCAAAATTCATACATGAAGTCCTAACTTCCAGTTCCTCAAAACGTGACTATATTTGGAGATAGGACCTTTAAATAGATAATTAAGTTAAAATGGGATCATTAGACTGAGCCCTAATCCAATATGACTGGTGCCCTTATAAAAGAAGGAAGACCACATGAAGACACAGGGAGACATCCAGCTACTCTCCCTATTCACAACAACTATTGTTGTTAGTTTGATTTGTGTTTTTCTAGATATGTTTTCCTGCATTTATATACAAACATGTTGATATCGGTTATATGATATGTAGACCTCCAAATAATATAAGGGAAATATTATAACTCTCAACCTGCTAGATGTCTGAAATGCTGAGTTCGTGTTCTCTAAAATTTAAGACTGAATTCTAGGAAAAATAGAAGTTAAGAGTAGGAAGAATTTGTGGAGAGAAAAATAGCTTCTGTCTAAGGAGACAGAAAAGGGCCTAGAAAATGGGTTACCCAGCGACCCTGCAAAGAAACAAGGTGAGGAGGGTTCAAGGTGGAACAAAACTATAGTCAGCTAATAAGATTACAAGTATAGTCATTTAGGTAATGTTGATCCAGTGGGAAATTACAAGGTGGGTATGAGGTGGGACAAAACTGTGGTCAACCAATAAGATTACAAGTATAGTTGTTTAGATAATATTGATGAAATGGGGAAGCAAGTCACTTGGCAAGCTTACATGAAATGAACAAGGACTTTTAAAGAAGGAATGGGCTCATGATGTTTTGGTTCACCACCCAGAGGATTGATACCTATTGAGAATATAGTTACCTCTATTTATCCCTAGGGGAAGTATGTGAGTGTAGTAGTTCCTAATCCTGACCTTCAGTAAATTGGCCTCAATTGTCTTCTGTATTGACTCCCTCAGGGGCCCAGTCCTGTCTAACTGCCTATAATATATCTAATTAACTTAGCTGTCTACAATACCAACACATTCAAATGTGGATGTTGAGTAAAATAAAATATCAATCTAGGAATTCAGAATAAGTGTTTTGCTAAATGTTATGAAATCTAAAATGGAAAGACATCAAAAGACAAAACATATTTTTAGATCTCTTTGAGTTTTTGTTTTGTCAGTTTTGAGATATCATTTACATTCAGTAAGAGTCACTCTTTTTAAGTGGCAGGTTGATGAATTTTGACATAC